CAAATTCAAGTATGGGCCTGACAAGAGCAAAATAAAGAGTTTTCAATGCTGTTAAATTACGAAAACTTCTTGCATTCCTAATAACGAAACCCAAAGCTCTGGTAGCCTTATTAATTGTATAAGTAATGTGATCAATGTAAGAAAAAGAATCGTTAATCATTATCCCACGGTCACGTATCAAGGACACTCTAGAAAGTTTACTGCCATCTATAGTATAATTTTGAATATCCACCGTTAGTGAGCACAGTTGTACGAAGAGCACAGCCAGGGTGATATGGAGTAGAACAAATCTTGCAAAAGGTTGCGTCAACAACATTTTGCTTACACATAATACACAACTTTGCACTCACAATATTATCCTTCGCTGCCATGCTTTATCAACACAAAAGTAAGGTTAGAAACTGTAAACACTATGAATAGTCACCAGTTTGATCGTCAATCACCACAATAATTAACAAAAAACATATAAAAGATTATCAGTAAATGAATTAGACCACGTAAAAGAAAATAGCAATGTTAAGAACACAATTTTATTATAAAATTTGCAAGAGCATCCGACACGTGCTACAACAGTAGGCGGCCAGGGCCGTAAAATAACACATCGAAAAAAATTTAAAATTTTTGTTACCTTAAACGTAATAGAACATAACTTTTTTGTTTTAATCTGTATCGAAAAGGGTTAAAGAAAAAAAAGTTTACTTTTGGGAGTATTTTAAAAGAAAATTAAAAAAAAAAATTTCAAGAAGAATTTAAATTTTTAAAAATTTGAATAATTTTTTAATTTTTGGGCGGATTAGTCTGTCAAACGAACTCAGGCTTCATTTTTACATGTTGAAAGCGTGTACCAAATATCAAAGCGATTCGTTAAGATATGTTCAAGTTATCGTGGGGACAAAATGAGTCCACAGACAGACTACAGACGACAAACGTCATTCACGTACAGATTCACTAAAATAAGAAAAAAGTTAAAATCGACCAAAATGAATACTTTCTAACTTATGATGAGAATTTAAAAAATCTAAAAATAAATGAGTTTAAACCAATTCAAAAGTAAATAATCGAAAAAATACGAAATTGTGGTATAAACAGCGCAATATAAACTATTTTAAAATAGAGGAATTTTTGAAAACAATTGCAATGTTTGGAAATGGAAAACAACAGTTGGAGTTATAAAAAAAAACGTCGAGATTCACTGGAATTAGAGAATGCTTAAAATCGCCCAAATGTAATTCCTTCTCATTATTATGAGAATGTAAAAAAACCACTGCAAAGTTGAAGTTTACTTCCTAAACACTTGTAATAAAACCTTAGTCTTGAATTTTGAAACATACTTACAATTAGTTAAAAATTCATGTATATAATCCTTAAAGGATTTTTAGAGGTTACAATATAGGATTCTTATAGGTTCCCTGAGGAATCCTGTTAAGAATTCTACACAGGATCACACTAGGATCACTTGCAGGATATTGGAACAGGGATTCTGTACAGGAACTTTTGCAGGAACATTAGTTACTAAATTTCCTTTGCAAATTTCTGTACAAGAAAAATTATTAAAAGAATATATATATTTTCCATTTATTTATTTATTTATTCAAAGTATACGGGCAGTGCCCATTCGTACAGTGTACTATGATACGATAATCCTAATTTAAACAAAATTAATCAGCCGCGCTAACATTATTGTTTCCATCATACATAAAATTACGCAGTTCAATTATAAACTTATTTAAAGAAATACCAAAAAAGTTAACACTCGTACTACTCTGATTTGCCTCCTTACTCAATCTGTTGATCACAAAATTGTTCAAATAGTTAGTTTTATTGAAAGGAATGTGAAACAATTGTTGATGTCTTGGAGATTTTAGGGGTATATGCAAATAAAATAGACTCAGCAATTCTGCACAATTAATTATGCCGTTAATAATTTTAAACAAGAAAAGCATATCGGCGTATAAAAATCGCTGAGATAATAACGGAATATCAAATTTTAATCTTAAGTCTGTGTAGTCATGATTATGATAATCAATTGGTACACCAGTCTGTTTAACCATAAAACGAAGAAATCTGTTCTGAACACGTTCGATGTCAGTTAACAGGTAGCTCTGATAAGGTTTCCACAGTACAGAGACGAATTCAATTATGGGCCTAACTAGTGCGAAGTACAATTTCCGATGAGCACAAAATTCTAAATTTCATAGGGTGACAGTATTTGTCTTGTTAAACAAGAATGCGATGAGCACAAAATTCTATATTTCATAGGGTGAGAGAGTTTGTCTTGTTAAACAAGATTCCGATGAGCACAAAATTCTATATTTCATAGGGTGAAAGAGTTTGTCTTGTTAATCAAGAATGCGATGAGCACAAAATTCTATATTTCATAGGGTGAGACTATTTGTCTTGTTAAACAAGAATGCGATGAGCACAAAATTCTATATTTCATAGGGTAAGAGAGTTTGTCTTGTTAAACAAGATTCCGATGAGCACAAAATTCTAAATTTAATAGGGTGACAGTATTTGTCTTGTTAAACAAGAATGCGATGAGCACAAAATTCTATATTTCATAGGGTGAGAGAGTTTGTCTTGTTAAACAAGATTCCGATGAGCACAAAATTCTATATTTCATAGGGTGAGAGAGTTTGTCTTGTTAAACAAGATTCCGATGAGCCCAAATTTCTTAATTTCATAGGGTGAGAGTATTTGTCTTGTTAAACAAGAATGCGATGAGCACAAAATTCTATATTTCATAGGATGAGAGAGTTTGTCTTGTTAAACAAGATTCCGATGAGCACAAAATTCTATATTACATAGGGTGAGAGAGTTTGTCTTGTTAATCAAGATTCCGATGAGCACAAAATTCTATATTTCATAGGGTGAGACTATTTGTCTTGTTAAACAAGAATGCGATGAGTACAAAATTCTATATTTCATAGGGTGAGAGAGTTTGTCTTGTTAAACAAGATTCCGATGAGCACAAAATTTTAAATTTCATAGGGTGACAGTATTTGTCTTGTTAAACAAGAATGCGATGAGCACAAAATTCTATATTTCATCGGGTGAGAGAGTTTGTCTTGTTAATCAAGATTCCGATGAGCACAAAATTCCATATTTCATAGGGTGAAAGAGTTTGTCTTGTTAATCAAGAATGCGATGAGCAGAAAATTCTATATTTCATAGGGTGAGACTATTTGTCTTGTTAAACAAGAATGCGATGAGCACAAAATTCTATATTTCATAGGGTGAGAGAGTTTGTCTTGTTAAACAAGATTCCGATGAGCACAAAGTTCTAAATTTCATAGGGTGACAGTATTTGTCTTGTTAAACAAGAATGCGATGAGCACAAAATTCTATATTTCATAGGGTGAGAGAGTTTGTCTTGTTAAACAAGATTCCGATGAGCACAAAATTCTAAATTCCGTAGGGTGAAAATATTTGTCTTGTTAAACACGATTCTTATGAGCAGATATTGAATGAATTCGTTATTATGAATTTTTGAAAAGTGACATGAGATTCGTATTCAGCGATTTCGAAAACCCCTGAGTAACGAGTTTCAAATGCAGTGAGAAAAAAGGTTTGAGCTGACAACCAAATATTTCATTCGATATATGTGCAACTAAAATTTTTTGGTTGACAACAACCAAAGTTTGTTTCAGACGACCAAATAAGAAAATGAAAAAGAATTTGGTAGTCTCAACCAAACTTTGGTTGATGTCAACTAAAGTTTAGTTGTGTCAACCAAAAAATTTTAGTTGCACATATATTAAATGAAATATTTGGTTATCAGCTCAAACCTTTTTTCTCAGTGTGAATTTATTTGATTTTTAATTTTTAAGTCCGCCATATTGGATCCGACATTTTGAATTTTTGAAATTTGGCATCAGATTCGAATTCAGCGACCCCAAAAACCCCCGAGTAATGAGTTTCAAGTGAATTTAGTGAAATGAAAAATGCGTACCTGAAAGAGATAAACTGTTCATGCTATTTACATATAGGTAAGGGTTGATTTTTGTATGAAGGGTGAGTTTTTATAAATGCTCATCTTTACTAATAGAAAGCACATAAAAAGCACAAAATTATGCCATAGTTGCTTTTTAAAATTCTTGCGTATTATGATAGGTGAGGTGCTGGCTGGGCGTCCAGGTAGCACCTCATCCTTAAAAACAAAAAAAAAAATAATTTATTGATGAGCACAAAATTTTTCGATTGGGCACAAAATTAGCACATAATTAGCACTAAATTATAGCATAATAAATTTTTCGATTTGCGATATTGGGGGTGCTAACTGGGCGGACCTGAACCGGAGAACTGACAACGCCCTATGCTAATTGCAGGGTTTTTATACTAGCAAAATCATCCTTCAGTGGGAGAAAATGAGGAGAGATCACGTCCTGATCGAATTTTAATTTTAGAATCACGACGACAATGTCTTGGATCTAATAGATATAGGTCGGCATATGCATCATCAGTCTTTTCTATAGGGGTATTGTATTGCAACGCGAGGCGAAAGCTACCATGTTCTCACGTAGCATAAACTTATGTGTTTGCGCCTCGCGATGCAGTATATGAGTCATATACTGACATCAGCTACCGATGCTACATTTTTTCAATAGTAATGGTGTGAAAATCATATCAAGTGGCATAATATATCTGTAAAAAGACTAAACATTTAGGTCTCTTGCTACCGAGTGTAGCATTGAGTATATATGCTACTTGATATGATGTAAACACATCGGTACATATTACTTTATGCAGCTGCATAAGATTCATCGAGAGAAAAGAATTGAACAAAGAATCTTTTATATTAAGCCAAAATGCTCCAAAATAACTCGTAGTACAATATAATTGCTTGCAAATATTAACAGAAGGAATGGGTGAGAACCAGACATTTTCTTATATATACCATCCTTCTACTAATATTAGATAATTTAGTATATTTTATTTATATACGTGTTTTTTTAACTTTTAAGAAAAGAATTTTGATACGGGATTTAATAGTTCTCCCGTCTTAAAAGTGTTCATTGTCCCAAATGAACTTAATATCTATGAATTGTGAGCTTGATTTTTACAATTGGGTATTCCTTCATTCATCCCATACTCATACATTGTAGTACAGACATTTAATCGAAACCACGTTTTGTTTATAAAAGTGAGGACATTGCTTACTATAAAGGAGGTACGTGCTTACTCTCGATTATGTGTTTATAGTGTATGGTGTAATGTGATTTGTGTTATCAGTTGCGCCTTAGGAGCAGTGATCTCGTAAGTATTATTTCGTCTTTTTCATACGTTCATTGATTTTTAATACGTGCAAAAATTCTGCATCTTTGATTTTATTAATGGGTTCTCATCTCTTGAGTGACAAAGTGGGGATCAAATCTTCATTAGTAATCGAATTGTCACGATGAAAAGTGGACGATCCTCTGCTGATACTTAGCGATATGATGACTTTTTAGCAGGTAATTTGGAACATTAATTTCTAAACACATTTAACTGGTTTATCTATTTCCATATATGTACTTTATTTTTTATTGATATTATGTTTCTTGTAGGACGAATTCCACCTCAGTGTTCAATGAAAGGAGGGCAATTTTTGGACAAAATCCTGCTAATATCTGTGGACTTAGGCCACAGCTTGGGCGTGTGGCAGGCGCTCAGGGATTTATGCAAGAATTTTGAGCAGGCAAGTCGTAGAAAAGGTCGTTCTAGTCAAAAAGAGATGGAGCAGAGGAATCGAACGATACAGTTCGATGAAGTCACAAAGGAAATTCTTAGCGTGAATGCAGAATTGGAGGATTTAACTTCCTTGATAACGTTAGTATTGTTTTTCTTGTCTTCTATTTTTGAAAAGTTTGCTTTCGTATTTTATATTTATTTCCTTCTATTGTATTTTGTTACAGTTGTCCAGATCGTTTTCCAAATTGTTGGTGTGGAAAGTGCCGACTTGTTGGCCGTGAGATTCCTGATGGTAATTTTAATTACAAAATTTTGTTTTTATATGTATATGCATATTTGTGGATACATATAATAAAAGTGCTTATTTGTTTGTTGTCTTTTTTATAGAAGTAGCAGATATCACGGCGATACTTGGCCCCAGTACTGCTGCTGACATTCAGGAATTTCAAGAGGTCGAAGTAAAAGATGAGCTTTTGGACGAGCTTCCACAATTTTGAGAAGTTTTTATTAAGGAATTTGGAGAGGCAGAAGAAGAAGATCCTCTTCAACTGAACTTTAGTGTGTAGTTTAAGTGTTTAGTGTCAGTACCTCTTTTTTATTATCGTGTCGTGAAAATGGTAAGCTTCAAATTCTTTACCTTAATAAACATGTATATACACACATGCACATAAGTCAAATTCTTGTATTTTTATAGATTTTTCTTTTAAATTAATCAAAAGTTTTGTATTTTAAAAGATGGACAATTTAAATGTATTGGAGTATTAGGGTTTTGTACATTCTTTCGCTCGCGCTGTGACTTACGATACATATTAGTCACGTAGTTGCTGTTAATAAGCGACGTGATGATCTTCTTCTCTCCACCTCCTCCGTCCGGCCGCGCAACGTAACGTGATATTGAAGTGCGAATCAATGGCTAGTTAACATTAGTATGTGATTCGTGGTTTCATATTAAGAGGCCATTATAAAGAGGCGTGTATATAGATTTTACAGATGGAGAAAAGTCGACAATTTTTTGCTTATTTAATATAATGAAATTTTTTTTTAAATTTATATTGTATTGTCCTCTCTCCTTAAAAGTTTGCATCGTCCTCGATGTAAATGGACGGAATAACACGTGAATTTAAGGAATTTTGACTTCTTTTTTGAGAATTTTGATTTCTATTATGCGAATTTCTTGTCCTTTTACTCCTGGCATGAACGGATTTGCAACATGTATAAAAATATCTTGCAATGACCAAAATTATTAACAATAATATGACTCGAAAGGCAATGTAGAAGTAAGTTTTGACGTACGTGATCCAACCGAAAAGGGTAATTTCCATCTGTGAAATTGATTAAATATTTAGAATTTTGTTTTATGTATTGGGAATAAATTTTTTTTATGATTATTAGATAAAAGAAAGAGCTATTGAATTTTGTTGATTTTTATCTTTCTTTTATCTACAACTGTTTGATGTTTGGCTCCTTTTTTATGTTTTTCAATTTGACAAATATTATAATAAAAGTATATGAATTAGACTTATAGTAATTATTAAATATAACTGTTTATATTATATGTAATACAAATAGTAAGCATTGTATATTTTCTCGTATACTGTAATGTGTTATTATGCTCCTTATGCGGATACCAATAAATTTCAATCTTAATGATTGATAATGAACTAATCTAAATCATGCAATTTTAATATAAGTATAAACTTTAAAGATATATTTCATGCATTATAGGTGCGATATATGTTGCCTAGCTCTAAAATTATAGTTTTTTTATACATGCATTTCATTGTATATTTTCTTTGCTTAATATTTCTCGTATACCGAGAAAATTATAGGAATATCATTAGATGTACGGAGTATTTGATATAATTAGACAAAACCCATTAAAATGTGATAAAAAGTATTATAATTTATAGTACAGAGTGAGGGAAAAATAAAAATACCTCTAAGTGCAGTTGTTCCTTAACTAATTATAATTTTTACGTACTATGCACAATGTGGGATTTATATAAGTAAACCAGCATTACTTATACTATTTCAAATGTTGCTTGATAAAATAAATCTTAGTGTATTGTTGATTATATATTTATAATATTTAGTCATTATTATAGAATTAATATTCACTATAATAATAACATGTTAAAATAAACACAAATGTGTAAGAATATATGTAAAATCATGCTGCTTTGTAATATTAATGGTTATATATACTGCAATATATTTTTTCTCATATTTTCTTTTTAATAGCATAATGCAATCCTAACATTAAAGATTAATATGTTATTCTTTAATTATCACGAACTATTCTAGCATTATAATAAAATAAAGCCAAATCCAATAAAATAGAAATAAAGGTATAGATTATGAATAAACGACTTAATAAAAGAAAGTAATACTTAAAGCAAACTTAAAATTATTGTTATAATATTGCACATTATATTTCTCTGTATATTGTAGTGATTAAATGAGTGCATTAGCATTGATACTCTATAATAGTAATGTTTAAAGTGGAGTCAATAACATAAGAAAGATAAAAACTTATGACCATTCTTATTTTTATTTCTTATTCTAAATTGATTAAATACTTGTATGTAAATGACAACTTTATTTAATGCATTCTTAACTATGTTTGTATAGGAAAATCGTATTTTTTGTTTATTTAAAATTAACTGAATAAAATTAATTAAAGTTCATGCTCATTATTTCTTAAATGTTATTACTACTATGCAGCGTATTATAATAATTATTATATAAATTCAAATTTCTATCTTTGAATCATTTAAAGTAAATAGCAACAATATCTAGAAAATAGGTAAGATTAATGAATATATTGCTTGATGATAGGTGATATAGTTGTATAGAGTGCTGCATAACCTGATCACCAAAAAAAAAATAATACTAATAATTAAAAGCAAATTATTAAAGTTTACTTTAATAATTTGTATTATTACATACTAGTTTAGTATTTCATGCATTAGTAATATGATTATAAAGGCAACTATAGTGATTGGTTGTAAAATAGTATTTTTAAGCACGGTTGTAGTATTTTATAGTTACACATAATGTTATTTTATGTAGTTCTTATAGCCTAATAAATAAATGCAAATAAAATAACACCGTCCGACAAAATTCAACTTTTTTTGACCACAAAAAAATCCAACATTTTTGGAAACTAGGACCCAAAAAATACCCGTGTCGTACCGTTTTGCTAGATCAAGTCATTTGTGGTTTTTAGGGGTGAAAACAGCCCCTAAATAAAAAGTGACAAGATATCTTTTAAAAATTATTAATATTTTATAAAACTTGGTATCTGGGGGTTTTCGGGGTCGCTGATTATTAATCTGATGTCAGATTTCCAAAATTCAAAATGGCGGATTCAATATGACGGTCAAAATTTTAAAAAGTTATTAAATTTTTTTAAACCTTGGTATCTAGAGGTTTTTTGGGTCGTTGATGACGAATCTGATGTTAAATTGTCAAAATTCTAAATGGCGGATATAAAATAAAAAATTAATAACTTTTTAAAAATTTGATCGCCATATTGGATCCGCCATTTTGAATTTTGAAAATCTGACATCAGATTAATAATCAGTGACCCCGAAAACCCCCAGATACCATGTTTTATAAAATACTAATAATTTTTAAAAGATATTTTGTCACTTTTCATATAGGGGTTGTTTTAACCCCTAAAAACCACAAACGACTTGATCTAGCAAAACGGCCAGATACGTGTATTTTTTTGGGTCCTAGTTTCCAAAAATGTTAAATTTTTTTGTGGGTCAAAAATTGTGCCGGACGGTGTAATTTCCAATATAAAATTGTTAGTAAAGGAATGAATATTTACATCTTGGATATCATTTATGTCAGTTAATTATCAAAAAAAATTTTAAATTGCCATACTTCATTTTCTTAGAGTCCATTGAGTTTTTAACGAAATCTTTTATTTCGTATTTCGTTTTGACACTCAGTCATCACCTGTCATCGAGCATAACAATACTGACACGCATTTTACCATTTATAAAGTTTGATGGGTAGAATCTTTAAAGGACAATTAAGACAATATACGTACGTGTTTTTTTTACATTATTTATATTCTCTTCCTCACTAAAATAGTAGATTTCATGCAATTTTTTAAGGATTTTTCTGGTAGCAGAATGTAAGGATTGCTTCTTAGATGGCTTTCCATCCCCTACAGCTACAAACGTATTGCCATTTTTCTTTTCTTCTATGGCTATTTTCATGAAAAAAAGTTGACTCTTTTGAGGGCATTCTATTCGATCCAATGTTTCTACAGGTTTCGATAAATCATATTCTATGGCTAGCTCCTCCAATTGGGATTTTGCAAATTCTAATTCCTCTACTCTCCCTTTAGGAAGAATGTAGGACGGGTAAAATTGTCCTCGAAGAGGCTTGGTGACAATGCATTCCGCCATTGTTTTCCTAAACAGATAAACTTTTTTAATATTTTTTTTATAGATAAGCAAGTTTTAACTTATCAACGTGTTTTTGAAAGAGTTTTGCTTCTTTACTTTCGAAAATTACATTGCTTTTATCTAATTTTTTTATGAATTTTGTAAGGGCCATGATATTGGCTATCTAATTTTTTATGTAATTTAACTTCTTTCTGAACGTAGACCATATCACCTATTTTTCCTAAGAATGGTTTGACCTTTTTATCATAGTTTGATTTTGAATTTTGTTTACCTTCAATTAAATTTTCAGCAGCTAAATTTTTTAATTCATTTTATCTTATTATTAGTTTTTCTAAATACGAACCATAAGTTTCTAAATTCTCGTCACTAGTATGTATGTTGGATGTTGCACTAAATGAGTTGGAGTCAAATGTTCTTCAGGTAAATGAAAAATATCTTGAAATTCATTAACTAATTTTAAAACATGTGTTTTCTCCTCTGCATTTAAGTGTGATAACCTTAAATGGGTTACTACTGTTTGGTAACTGTTTGAGGTAGAAGAGTCGTCGATGTTTTCCATACTATCGCAGGAATCTTCTCCGGGTAAATTATAATACTCAAAAGGGATAAGTTCCTGTGGAGGTATATTTACTTCTATGTCATTATCGTTGGTGTTAATTGCATATACGTGACAATATCCCTTAGAATTTGTTACCACTACTTCTCCTATAAATACGCCATCTTGTACATTTATTAAAGGTAAATATCCTTCTTTCATTTGCTCGTTTAAAATCTTAACTGGTATTACTTGTCGCGACCTTGATTTTAAAACAATAGAATTGTAATTTCTCTTCTTCTGAGGTTCAAGATCATTATTACTTTGTAACTATTCAATGTCAATAAGTGGAAATGAAACTACAGGATTTGAAGCGGTTATTATAGTATTATGACAGAAGGAAATTTCCACCTTCTCTTGACGCAAATATTCTCTTCCTAAAATACCATCAACTTCAAGGAGAAAATTTGGAAAAATAACATGAAACTTTACTTCTGTGTTTCCTATATCACACTTTCAAAGCAATTTGGAAACCAGTGACATTAATTGCCTGAAATGGATTGGTATGCATCTCTCGTTAACAAAGATAATACTTTAAACACAAGTAATAATACTTAAAATAATGTCGATCGATCCAATAAGATATGTAATTGTTTAGATGAAGATTGCGCTCTTCACATCTAAATTGTAAGGTTATTTTAAAATGTAAAATTGCACTACTTTGATACACAACTCAATATAATTTAAAAATTGTTATTATTAATTGAATGTATTCCTTAAAAGTGTTTAAAAATAGTATATTTCGATACAAGAGGCCAAACGAGCGTTTTGCTCGTTACACGAGTAATGAGCATACGCTCGTTTGGCCCCTTGTATCGAACCATATTTTTCTTTATAAGTGTAGGCATAACCTCGTTTGACAGCTACTTGCAGCTATTCAAAATGGCCGACTCCCTC